AGGATCTCTCGACAGGTTCCAGTCAGAGCACTGGAGCTTTGCTTGGAATGCATTTCAACCTTGCTATCCGCTGGCTGGGGAGGCGGCCTTGAGCCTGCTCTATCAGGGCAACTCCTCATCCTTTTTACGTTCCTGGCCAAGCCTTCATCCATAGAGAACGGCATCTCCGCTACTTCAGAGGAGCTGCAATCATTGGCGCTTAGATGTGCGTCCGAGCTGATGACTGAGACGTCGCGCACGAAGCAGGGTCGAAAAGCTATAACTGCGACGACCAATATACCTGCCCTAGGCGAAGCTGTACTAGTCATGCTCGAAAGTCTTACCGATAGCAACTCGAATAACGTCAAGTTCCAGGCTATATGTGCGCTCAAGGGCACCATCAGCGCGATCGATGATGATGATGCTCTCGCCAGCTTTCTACCTAGGATGGTCTCGTCCTTGACAAAGGTATTGACACCGAGCAGCAGCAACCGACCCGGCTTTCGCGTTGTCGAGCAAAGCTTGGAAGTACTTGCGACACTTCTTGTTCGTCTGCTCAGTGATGCGAAAACCAAGGACTTACCCGAGACAACTCCATCAGATAAGTCGGGGAGTATCACCACAACGTCGCGATCGACCTCGTGGCTACAAGCGACTGCCTCACAGGTCAAGATCGCGCTTGCAAATGTATTCAAGCTGAGGGACCATGATAAGCCAGAGGTTCGGCAAGCTCTCTTGAAGCTATGTCTTTGCATCGTGCAGGACTGCCGTATATCATTATCACTTTGCACAAGTATGGCTACCGAAACCATCATAAATCTGGCGGGACATGAAGGCTCTGACGACACGATTGAGAGTCAACTAAAAGGACTCTTGTCCGCAGATCAGACCCTTTCTGATCTTTTACGGGAAAGCCTGCACGGTTGGATCGTAGCGCTACCTAGGCTAATGCGATCAAAAGACGACCGTAGCCGCCGTCGAATTATACACCAAATTTCGGTGTCGCTTCGACTATTTGAGCAAGATCCGACCATCTTGGATGACCGACTCACTGATAGTCTACGAGATGGTGTTTCTGCTGTATTTTCCGATGCAAAAGGCCTAGAAGAGCTAAACGAACACGACCAAAGCTCGATCACCGATCGCACACTGGCGTTGAGTTCCACGAAGTCGTCCTCTTTCCCTCCAATAAGCCTGCGGTATAAAGGCCAGGACGACATGATGACAGAGTTTAAAGTATTAGTTCAGGAGCTCGCGCGATCGAACTCGGCTCTAACGGTTGCTCAAGGACTGACTAGCTCCATTGATCTTGGACCAACTGAGGTCCGCTTGGCAAGCTTCTGGCTGTCAATCAACTTAGTAAGGGACATAGCAACGATCAACCCATCCGTCGATGATTTCATGGATTTGGGGACACCAAACCCTAGGGAAGAAGTCCTGGATGACTTGTACTCACAATCTCTATCACTACTCAACCAGCGAGATTCGAATACGGACAACCCTTGGCAGTTTTATGCGTTGGCATTGGAGACTGTAGCTCTACAGGCGAAGCAGTACAGAACTGAATTCCGCCCTGAGTTGAGCGAAGTACTCTATCCAGTGCTTCATCATCTTGGAAGCTCGAATAGCGCACTACGTGAACATGCTCTAGTCTGTCTCAATACTGTCGCGGAGGCTTCAGGATATAGCAACGCAGGGGAGCTCGTGATTGCAAACGTTGATTACATCGTCAACGCTGTTGGCTTAAAGTTGGCCTATGGCGATGTCTCTCCCCAGGCTCCGCAGGTTCTACTCATGATGATGAGACTCTGCGGTCCATCCCTCTTACCATATTTGGATGACCTTGTGGATAGCATTTTCAACGCCTTGGAGAGATACCATGGGTATCCCAAACTCGTAGAGCTTCTGTTCTCTGTACTTCAAGGCATGGCAGAAGAAGGTATCAAGGCGCCACAACTCGCGTTGACAGCTGGGGATGAGAATATCGAAACAAAGCACCCAAAGAGAACGGCTACCATGGACGACGTAGTCAAAGCGATTCAGAGGTTAGATGCTGACACACGAAGACGGGAGGAAGAAGAGAAACAAGCGGCGAAGATACCATTCCCAGAAAAACCCTGGAAGGAAGACAAGAGCTCGGAAAATACCAATCCAGACGATCCAAACGAGGAAGATGATCATCCACCTCCACCTCAGACTGAAGAGCCTCCCCCTCCTGCGCCTCGTACCTTCGCCATCCTCCTGAAAATCTCCGAGCTCACACAACATTATCTCACTACCACCTCGCCGACTCTCCGGAACTCTCTCTTGTCTCTTCTTCGCACTACCATACCCGCCCTCGCAAAACACGAAAACTCATTTCTCCCCCTTATTAATACGCTCTGGCCTGTGTTGGTACCTCGATTACAGGATCCGGAAGCATATGTAGTATCAAATGCGCTAGGCATCATAGCCTTGATGTGCGAACATGCGAGAGACTTCATGAGGACACGGGTCGAAGACGCATGGGATCTCTTCAGAAAAGTCTATAAGCGAACTAAGGAGCATGACGATCGCGGCAGGGGCAGCAGCTCCAAATTCACGTCACTAAAGATTACGGGTATCGAAACTGGTATGACGAGGCTGTCCATGGAGTCGCAACCTAGTGTCGATCTTTCGCGACCAGAGCTGTATGTCGATGCACCTACACGCATGATTTGGAACAGCCTGATCTTGCTGCTATGCGCCATCGCTAAACATGTGACGGTTCGCGACGAGCGCTTCGAGGAGATACTGGATATGCTAGACCCCGTACTGGCGAGAAGCGACGTACGCGAAGCGCTGGAGTGCAGCAACGCCGACACAGTCTGGCTACGACTATACAAGAAACAGAAACAGACTGAGAAAGTTCAACAAACCCGTTCGGATGTTTCAGAAATGGCACATGGGCTGCTAAGCAAAATACCCGCTGGCAAATCACATTGGCAGTTCGTTCGACTCTGAAGCAGAAAGAAAAGATACAAGGTTCTGGCGCTCGAATATCAATTAAAAGCTTACGATGGCGATGTTTGGGCTGAGTGTTCATGATGCAGAGACTTCGTGTGGGGAGCCGCAGCAACAATGCGACTAAGCTGCTGTGTTGAAGGACTCTTGTATGACCACACAACAGTCGTGGCTAGATAGCGATTGGGTAGTTTGAACTCAAGCACTAGTGTCTACGCTTACCGGTCCGCCCCTCGGGCTTGCAGCATATACCATCCATTCCTTCATCTTTGCTCCTGGTCAATCAATGGAGTTTTTTTCCGCTGGAATCTTGGGTCGCTAATCGATTTGCAGTGTGCAACTGTGGGTTGCATCTCGATCATTATCGCGGAGATGTTTGCTCGCACTACTTGTTGCGTACCGTTCAGTATCGCGATAATCAACAAATCATAGGAGACGACCTACCTCCCTTGTCGGGTAAAGGGAAGAAGGCAAAATCGTGGTTGCTTCGGCATCAAAATAGTTTGTTTGGTGTGGATGTGCTGGAAGGATGGCCGTCTTAACCTTACAGCTTGCACTGCGCTTGGCCGAATAACTCCATTACGAAAATATTGCAGCAATCTGAAACGACAAGTGTGTTTATGTCTAGCTCTGTGAGCTCTGGCGACAGCCTCGCGCCCTTAAGTTGATATAAGTCATATACTAATCTCAAATACATCTTGCAGGAGGGGCCAGATAAAGCTCAAGAGTGAGAGATGTTTTCGCATCCAGAAGAACTTTAGGAGAAGGAAGAAACTGCTTAGGTGCATCCACAGGACGGAAACGGTTGGAGAGGCGAGTTCCATTGACTCGAGTCGTGGCGGATTGGCGACCAATAATTTGCTTCTTATCGAGCCACGCACTTGATAAATCAGGCAAATGGTACAAAATGGCCTTGCTTAGCATCTAAATTTAGTAGGTGTTATTGCCACTGAATTTGGTATTCTTCATGCTCTTTCTCATTGAATGGGAGCAACTGTGGTGGCAAATACATGGAGTTTCAGCGTATCGCAATACTTCTCACAGCACCATGGCCTTCTCTATGTCTTGTTTGACCGAGTAAAAAGAATACGGATAGCACCGGTGGCTTGGCTTCCATCTAAATCTAGATGCCATAGTTGTTAGGTTTTACGTCGGTGGCGGCTCAGCCTTCACGTAGCTCAACGTTGGTTGGCTATCGTTTTGGGGCTTGCATCACAGCTGAACGAGAGGTTATGCACGATATGTACAGACAGGCCAGCTGAGTCACGAGGCTTCTTTGCTTGGTACAAATGCTTAGCTATGACCTCTTGCTATGCTGTTTCATTTCCTTCTCAGAAAAGAAGTAACGCGTTGTCTTGTGAAACAGTATCGACATTACCCATCCGATACCTTTGAAGAGCGTTTCATGCCTAAGAAAATAGGCCAGAATGAATGCCATGTCACTACTCGACTTCGGATCGCCCAATTTCAATTTCACAAATTGCTCGTCGGCGGTCTCGATCTGGCTGTACTTGCAGCCAGTCGTGGATACCGACATGATCGCGCCCAACGACGATTACAGAGACCCGCACAAAATCTACGAGTATATCATCGAAGGCCTTGATGGATATCTGCAACATAACTCTATTCAAAAACCCCCTATGACGGACGAGTTCTGGGCGTGGGCTCGGAGAGGTGGGCTTGATCAAACCGCTGCGGAGTACGCTTACGAAACATGTGTCCAAACTCTGTGCCGTGCGGTCGGTTGGAAAGGTAACCCTGACATGGTTGGGATTGGGGTACGACTTAACCTAGCATAAGAGATTTCGTGTCGATAAAGCTAACTCGCGTAGATGCTAGTCACATACCTGATGCAACAGCTACTCATCTCGATTTACCTGTACCCGATTGCCAGGATCCGTCTTGGAATAAAGCCGAACAGGACAGATAGGAAGTGCTTCATCTCACGGACTCTACTTGCAATCCGACTATCGACTACGGCCTTTCTCTCTGCGTCCGCTGTATTCTCGATTGCTTTGCTGTTAGCATCCAATATCACCATGGCGCAACAAGAGTCGACATCGGTTCTTGCGACATTCGTGCTAAGTGCTGTGGTACCTCTTAATTCAGTTTTCCCTGTCATTATACTACAGCTGGCTACACCGGGTACGTTTCGGCGTCAGAAAGGAAGGCTTATGCTATGGGGAGTAATCGACGTACTTATCCTGGTACTGGTGATTCGCGGCATCTTGGTGCTTATGATGACTGCAGCCGAAGACAGTATGCGAATCGGCGGTGATCCAATAGGTCAGAAGGCTTGTGTGAACATGGCCTTCGTGCCCTGGGTTTATCTTTGCTGGGCGACCGCCGCTCTTTTGGTAATCGGTCTCACTGTCTTTGTAGTAGGCTCTCTTCTTTCAGTTCTGCGCCACCGGCAATCAGTATTCGTACGGCTCCCATCATGGACGTCATAGATCATCCTTTTCGTCTCGTTCGTCGCCATGCTGTTCTTCAATATTTGGCTCGTTTATCTAAGCATCCGGATACGATCACGCGCTGGAGCCCATAACAAAGATAGCGAATGGACGTTTGGACAGATCCTGGCGCTCGCTACCTGGGTGCCCTTCCTAGCAGAATTCGCATACACGTGGTTGGAGGAGCCGGAGGACGCGTTGAATGGAAGGTTACCGGCACCATACGAAGTCGTGGTCGCATCAACGGTAGATGATGCGTTTGGTACAGCACGACCGGGCATCGAGCAAGCACGAGGTCAGTTCCAACGGCTTGCAGCAACAGATTTGCCTTCGTTCGAGTCCAGTAAAGCTTCGACCTGGCCGTTCAAGACACATTAACGTTCAAAGACTTGCTCGCGTTATTCTAATGCGCTGATTTTGTGTCATAAACAGGCGAGTGGTGGGAAGGCGTTTTGACATCTACTTTATGTACCTCCAGAATCATCATGCAACTCCTTACAATGGTACGATTGAGCTTTTATGTATGAAGACTGCAGCCATGAATCCAAAAACGGAGATGCCTTCCCATAAGACGAATACGGTGTGTGATAGCCGCCTGTAGGTAACCTGACCGAGTCAGTGTTAATGTCTCTGCAGGTGTCACCTAACGACAGAACCATACCTAGGTAGGGATGTATCTCGCGCACAGCGACACCACCTTATCGATGTCTTCTTGCATTCGTAGATAGAATTGAGGTGAAAAAAATCCGTCTAGCCCGTCTGATTGCAATTCTGGATTACTCTAGATCTTGCTTCCTGGTAGTCAAGTGCACCAGCCACGGCTAACCCCGCCTCAACAAAGATCTCACTCCCGTATAACGACAGGGAGTCAGATGCCCTAGGTATTCGTGCATACGGTGTTTAATCGGCTCTTTGCACTGGTCTAGAAGCTATGTACGAGATTAGGAGTGGAGAGCGACGTCATTGGGCGGCTCCAAGCATCTTCGTTCGAAGTTGCTTTTAGGTTGCACCGTCTGTGCGCCCTCTACGTGAAACATGAACGGCCCTCTTTAAGTATCCTTACGCGTCTCAATCCTTGATTCCACCAAACCTACCCACCTAAGGAAGTTAATTTCTTATAGGATCAGCTTTCCAAGCCAAAGTCTCGATACAGCTACAAAGAAGTTGCAGCAAGGTTGACATATCATACTAGAACACAGATAGCGAAAGAGCACACGTTTTGTTCGTATTCATGTCATTAGAAACTAGATTATAGAAGGCCGTTTTCTATCGTGGGTAGTCCATTAGGTTCACATGTTGTTGTAGATGCACTTGACAGGAGTCTCCTCCTTGAGCGCTTTCATAGTAAATGGGATGCATCCCTCGATGCCAGCCGGAGTGTCGACACCCGACAGCCAGACGCTGTAACCGTCCTCCTCCGCACCCGGGCAAGCCTGGAACCCAACAACGCCGTTGGCTGCCGCGAAAACCAAGTTGGACTCGTCGTCAATCTTGAAAGGACCACGCTCCTGGTTCTTGCCGATGCCTTGGACACCCATTGTGAATTGGAGGACACCCTGGCCCATGCCGGAGCGGTCAACGTAAGCCCTCAGAGGTGGGTTGGGTGTGTAGAGGTACAGATCGCCCTCCTCGGTGAGCGAGAAGCTGGCGTAGTTGGCGTCTGGCTCTGTGCATGAGGAGTTTTGCTTTGGTGCGTTGATGCTGAGACCTCCCTTTACGGCTTGGATATTTCCGAACTGGATAGGGGTGCCGGTGCGGAGAGACATCAGGCGGAAGACATCGTTGCCAGAAGGTTTGGTGGCAGCGAAGGGGTCGGTGTTGGTAGAGTTGTCGGCAGTAGCGATGGGCGAAGCAGAGACAATGGCCAAGGTGGAGGCAATGACGGCGGAGGTGGTGAACTTCATGTTGGGTGGTTGTGTTTGGTTGAGTGAGTTGTTGGATTTGGTATTGAGATACTGATTGTAGTGTGATGTGTTTGTAGTGGTGTGATGAGGCTTCTCGGGCAGCCCTTACGTCGTTTTATATATCAACACTTTCAAGTCCGTGTGTACGATACGAGATTGCACAACAAGGCCGAGGTAGTCCATCATCACTCACCAGATGTCGTGCATGACGTTGTAAATCTCCGAAAATAACTTCTTTCCTAGCTTCGAACCCATGGCTAGTGCCGGCTGCGGCGTCCGCTTAAGCTAGCTGACCGGGATGTTGATCACCCGGGGATGTTGATCACTCACAAATCTCAGCACTCCCACACAAAACACGTGTTTATTTTCTTAACGTAGCTATAATTGCCACTCCGTACACATAGAC